AGTTATAGCCATCCAAATATGGTCACAGCCAACCAAATATTTTATCATTTGGAAAAACACCTTTTTGTTATGTTCAATTCAAAATTTTCTCCCAAAAACATGACAAAAAGATTTTGTTTCTCATGCAGTTTTGCATACCAGTGCCTAATATATATATGATAGAATTGGGAAAATTTCATTACATATTATTAGGAAATGTTTTTCAGACAATACATTTGTGAGTGTCGAACTTAATCTTGTATAATCTTAATAAGACAAGACGCATAACTATTTTTTTTTTTTCACAATGCAATATCAACATGCTTGCAATAGAAATACTGTAAAACATGTCTTTTTCGCGAGCATGTCTTTTTCGCAAATTTAGCAAGAGAACTGATTCGCTAATTCAAGATGTCGCTAATGACTTTATTATCAATTCAAAACGGCCGCCAAACAAAGAAATCAACAACGACTAGAGAGATTCGCTAAATCAACATTTCGCTATTACGTCATTTTACCACACTTCGCTAAAATTGCATGCCGCTTTTTCAACATGTTTTACAGTAATCAGAAGCTTACCTGTTGTAATAGAGCCTTGTTCGATGTCCAACTTACTCAATTCTGAAGTCTTAATAACCTTGAAACCTAAAAAGATGAAGCAAGAAGATGAAAATTGAGTCATGTCCAGGTGATACTTTACCATTTCAACAATGTAAGATGACATAACTGACACATTGAACTGCAAAGGATCAGACAGAATCACATTGAGCCAATCACTAAGAACATCTGTGAGACAGATCATGATGTGTAATCCTTTCACGCCATAATTATACCTGCCTATATTGATGTGTAACATTTTACATAGTTTTACCTATGTATATTTTTTACCAAATGAACAAAATTTACCATTTCTTACAAATCTTGATCTTGATCCTACATGTATGAAAAAAATTCTGCAGGTTTAATTTTGTGAAAGATGACAAAAGTCGATTTAGGGGGTTCTGCACTTTTTTTTATATTCTTTAATATTTCTCAAAATGAGTTCTAATTTTGGAGCCAACAGACAAAATTTGATTCAATTTTCAGTTTTCACTCAAAAAATATTTCGTTATTTTTGTCCAAATCTTCTGAAGAAAAATACAGACTATAAACATTTTTGGGAATTTGTGATGAAGAGAGGGAACAGGTGATGAAAATATTAATACCTTGGTTTGTATCTGTTATTTAGTACATGCTTGTATGGTAGAATTGTACAAAACGACAAAAGTGAGCAACTATACCTGAATCAACGCCAACAAATGTCAGACCATACTTATTGGATACTGCTACCAAATGTACAACATCTTTTGGTGCCAAAGTTTCAACATTATTATCAAAAATTTTGATTTTACACAGCTGCTTGAAACGAAAAACCTGTTTAAAGAAAAAAGAAGAAATAGTTGAGATTTCTACATGTATTACAGTACAGGTAAATGCTGTTCTAAAGAGCATCCCTCAGTACCGCTTTAGTCTCACTGTTATTAATCAGAGCTAGGGCAGTAAGAAACTGAAATCTGGTGATTTTTTTTATCTATCTTCAGAAAAATACATATTTATTACAATTGTGTCCAGTTGTGATATATTTATTCAACACATAACCATGCATATTATTGACTGTAGTAACAAATAGTGTGAAATATTTTACAGTAAATGTGGCATTATGAGTCCAAATTCTAATTTCTTCACAGTCAATTAAAGATTAATTTAATTAGCTGTCACATGACCACATGATGGTTATATTAAAGGTAACCTCCATTTTTATTTCGTGTGAATAATGCGCTTTCATAAAATATACAGTTTGATATGGTTTAAAACAATTATTCTATGAAATAATTAGTATGAATTTTACTTCCTGAAAACATCTACTACATGTACATCCTTTAAAGTATATTTTTGCAAAAATATTGACAATTTTGAAAACCATTGGAGGTTGTAACTGCAAATGCACATTCACAGACAGACGTCAATTAACATAAATTTTTTTTGCCAAGTTCCCTTAAATTTTGCATTCTGCCATGTGAGGGCGCTGCAAATATGTCATTTGTGTGAATTGAACTGTGTACTATGAGATCAAAAATCAATATGGCAGCTACAGTGTACATTGATGTATGTGATTATTTGATTGGTGGAAATATAGCAAAGTAACAACCTTTACAGGAATCCTAATAAATAAGATTTAAAGTTCTCAACTGACTCATTTTGCAATACTGGAGAGTTGAATATTTATACGCGAGATGTTTAAATAAGAAATTGTTAAAAAATTGTGATTGACATGTCAAAATCCTATGTTCTATTCTGATAACAAGCTTGAGACAAAAGAAAAGGTCTGATCAAAACGACTGGCATTCTTGAAATTCAAGTCTAATTGTCCTTGCATTTCTGAAACAAAAAACTTTGATGCCTAAAACAACCGATTTTTGCCCAATCTTCTACGGTTTTTTGATGATATCTTTAATTCAGTCCAGCAGTTAGATAGATTATTTATTAGAGACGCCCGGGGAACTAAATTTTGCCATGTAAATCACTCCGGCGACTAAAAACAATAACAGCCAAGTGGGTAGGGACTTAATTTCAAAAACCTATTTCATATATAGGCCCAAGGGTATGTAATGATATCTTTGATCTTTGTTACATTTGTTAAATTTGTCTACATATTTGTCTACAATATGCATAAAGAAGAAAATGAAGAACATTTACTCATAGTTTGTCCAAAATACAAGACATTACGACAAGATGTGTTCTCACATATAATTCTCCCAAAAAAATTTAACTAATAATGAAAAATTTCAATTTATAATGACAATAAGACAAAATCTCAATTATGCATGTTGCACAATTTATCTTCATGGCATTCCAACAACGCACAAAAAAACATGTGATTTTAACTTATTATATTCTATTCATTTTTTTATATTTTTTTTACTAACTTGTTGTTATATTTTATTTTTTGTATTGATTAATATTTCTATTGCTATATACTTAAAGAAATGTACATTTCTAAAGATGCAATAAACAATTATTATTATTTGTTTGCTTAAGTTTAAAATAAAATATCATATATTACATGTTGTTTAGATTTTCTGAAACTGTTAAAGTCTGAGAAGCTGGTTATTTTTACACCCAAATCCATTATTTGCAGACTAACTGGGAATGATTCATCTCTATCTGTCTTTGGGACTTTCTCGGATTCGGACTTTTCAATGTTGTACTTACGTCTTCAGAAACCTGTCTTTCAGGGGGTCCAAACTCCTGTTCCATTTCAACAAATATTCCACTTATAACGATTAGGTGAATTATCTGGTTTGTCCCCAAACGACGCAAACAATGACGTTTGATCGGTAAAAATAAATCGCTCAACACACTGTTTTTAACTCAAATACTAGTAGCAGAATTCCACAGAGATGGACACTTGGGATGCCGCCATGTTGATAGCGAATCAAGGCCCCCTAACTTTAGAAAGGTGGAACTGTTACTCACTGCATCTTTCTGGAAAGCAGGGAAGACTCCTAAAATTGACCTACATTATCAATAAAATCTTTAATCAATTTCTATAATGCATTTCTTTGATATTTTGTTATTAAACATCTCTGCAAACCATCGACACAAAAAAGCTGCCACAGTGTAATTTTCGGCTTTCATAAAGGTCCTCATCAAATGGCCGCCGTTGATCCCGTGCTGATTTCTGTTGAATTCTTTAATTTTCGCTATATCTGTGATATTTTAACACAACACAACTAGATAGGTTCGATATTTCAAAGACTAAATTACTTTACTATTGAAATAGAAGTTAAAATCGATCCTTTATTCTAGCAGGGGTCGTTTAACTAATTCCTGGAGCAAGACCCGGAAGTTGATCACCATAATAACACCGTGGACACATCCTCGTTAGTGACATCACCACTTTTGCGCAGTATACTGTTGTTGTTTTTTCATTCGTAAAAATGCCTCCAAAATTCAAGAAGCATCTCGACGAAGAAGACGTTTACGGATCAAGAACTACAGAGAGAGTGAGTATAAATTTGAAACTGAATGAAAACTAATCAATTTATCAAGAACAACAAAATACGTCCAAAAATAAATGAATGAATAAAAAATACATGCACGCGGAGACAAAAATAGAGTGAACAGTTACGTAACTGCTCATTAGTCATCAGAAGTCACATGGTATGTCGCATTCACGCCATACATGTACATTTGATGGTCTGAACTAAATTTATTTTTCTGGACAATGTTAAAATGAAAATACGTTATTACCAAAACTGATTTTAGTGTGTGATTCACAAAAATATAAACTATAGTTTTGCATTTTTTTATTTATACATTATTAATTTTTTTTTTTTATTTGCTCTATCGGAAAAGCATATAAATGAACCACAGTCCCTCTATCTATGATAGAGGGACTGTGAATGAACCAAAAATCACATTTTGTTGTATGCTGAATAATTAAAATATTTTGATTTTGACAAAAGAAACACCTGTAATTTACATAAGCACATGTGCTACTAGAAGGATGAATACAGTGAGTGGATTAATCATTAAAAGCTTTGACTTATTATTATTATTTTGCAGGACAATTTATTAGGGGATTACCATGACGATCCAGAAGAAGATTATAATCCTTTCTACAGTTCCGGAGGAAATGGTAGTATAACCAAGTAAGTAGATTTGTATTACACCATGGATACAATGTCTTTATTGCTGCATAATATCACCATATTAATTAATATTAATTATTCATTATATCTTTATATATTAATTTTACTTTGATCTTTGATGTAACTTATAAAAAAGAAACAGCAAACAATAAACAAAATACATGCAAATTATTTTTTCCTCAACTGAGTTTTAAGCTAGACACTTTGTTTCAGGATAATGTTGCTATGATTTTTGTGGGCTGCGAAATGTGTATTTTTTTTCTGTTAAAATTTTTTTTCATTATCTTCTTTTCTCAATGGTCAACCCCGTATTTAAAAAAAGAACCAACAAAAACATGTTCAGAGGTGTGCTACACTTAATTAATTAATCAATTAATTAATTTATGCTGAATAGACTTTTTGGATGTTTTAAATTTGTATATTTATTTTCACTGATTTTTGATGAGTTTAATGAAAAAAATGATATGTCACATAATTTCACATGTTAGTTGTCATTTTGGACAAAATGTCCTAATCTAATTTTGAAACAACGTCATTTTTGCAAATTTGTAAAAATCAGTTGATTCTCATGTACATGCATTTCCCTTGATCCTTGATTGCTTTCACACAAAGCCTGGAAAATAACACAGCCATGATCAATCTAGTAACTCATTTTGTATACATTATGTGCTTTCAGAGTACAAGGCCAGGTGGATGAAGTGGTTAACATTATGCATGATAATATTAACAAAGTTATTGATAGGGGAGACAAACTGGATGACTTACATGACAAGTCCGGTAAGTTTGCAACAGTTCCTGACAAATTGTAGGTCCGTGTTTGGTTTAACACATCACCGGCTGAGCGCCTCTACAGGTAGCTGAAATACATGGTCAGCATGCGTTCTGTTAGAGTCCATAACTGTAGCATCATAATGGAAATGGCAAAATTTTCCGCTCTATTTTCTGCTTGTAGTTTCATCTCACATTTGATAGGTTTAAACTCCTCACACAGTGGTTTTACCGGTATTCCTGGATTGATTCAAGCACATGTGAACTTTAACACTATTAAAATCAGTTGTTAATCCTACATTCCACTTCCAGGCTCTAATTTGCATTTGAATCGCAACTGTGATGCAGATACATAGCATGATTTATATGGTTAATCTTATATGCTTGGATGTGCTTCCCCAAAATTCTAAATTAAATGCAATCCAATGCATCCAATTCTGTAGATGAATTTTTGCCAATTTTGCAAATCCTTGAAAATCACCAAAATTTTGTAGGATATTTAGAGAATATTTCTCAGGGGTCATACAATACGGAAACCATCAAATTTGCAAAGAAATTCCAGCATTAAAAATTAAGTGGTTTACAGTTATTGTAATACTAGCATGATATGATTTTGTGTGTGCACCTTTGATGACAAACTTGCTATGTATATTGTATCAGAATTAAAGGTGGAAAAGACAAAAATGCTGCACTTGTTAACCTTTTCACCACCAGTTTCTGTATTTCATCACAAATTCACAAAATAGTCCCATTTATAGTCTGCACTTTCCTTCAGAAGATTGGGACAAAAATAGCCAAATTCAATGAATAAAAACTGAAAATTGACTACAATTTTGTCTGTTGGCTCTAAAATTAGAGTTCATTTCCAGAAATATTTAAGAATATTGAAAAAAGTAACAGAAAGATTTGGGTGCAAAAGTGAAAGAAATAGGGGTGAAAAGGTTAACCAAGCTTAAGATTGCACACTGGGGTCAGGTTGACCTTTGACCTCCGTAGATGTTGTGTGTTTTGGTTTATTTTTATATTTAATTTCCAGTGAAAAAGTAAAATGATATTGTTGTCTTTATACAGAGGAATTAGCAATCAATGCAACTCATTTCAAAGTGACCGCCAAGGGTTTGAAGAAGGCCATGTGCTGGCAAGCATGCAAGGTAGGCATACACTGTCTGCAAAGATACCAGCATGCACTATACGATGTGTCCATTGCACATCACAGAGTCAGTTACTGAATCTTTATTTTGATACAAACAATCTATGTAATCTATATATTTATAAGAAGAGACACAGTTGTCAATAACTGTCGCATATATGGGACAATTTATCATTCTGACAGTGATTGGTCCTTCAGAAATTACCTACCTATTATCTTGGTCTGTGCAACAGTCAAAGTCGCCATCTTTGTTTTTATATGAGACCTATATTTTGTGCATATGAGATATTTCCGCTGGCAAGTAAAATCTGCTAAGTTAGATTCATGTCTAAAATAACAATAGAACTTGTCATTTCACTGGAAAATTTGTGAATTGAAAAACCCAGTCCATATAAAAATTACAATGTAGAAAGCAATCTTGCAATTCCAAAAGTTAACCTGACCATTTCTCAGCATAATGTAAAATTTGCATCTGTTAAACATTGGAACTCACTCCCAGCCTCATAATAGAACACACTTCAAAAACACATTAAAGCACTACCTACTAATTAAACCTTTTACCTTATCAATATGCTTTTACACATCAGATTTGTTATTTTCTTTTATTTCCTCCTTCTATACGTTGTATATTACTATTCTTGGATGTCCTACCTACCTAACTCCATTTTAATTGAATTATTCTAATCATTATTTAATCATTTAACCAGTTTTATCACCATAATATCATACAATAAGTTGGTTCTTGGACTAGATTAGTTCAGACGAACTATTTTCCATGGACGAAGCCAAAAAATTTCAAACATCCTTTTTTTTTTTCTTTCTCACATTGTTTGTTTTTCTGTTGTATATTTTCTGGTGAAATCAATCAATCAATTAAACTTGCCATAACGGACAATGTAAGAGTTTGAATATCACGCCTATTATTACACATAGACCCATTGAGTCCAGTATCCGTGATTAGATTTAACCCATTGAGTGCCAGATATTTTTCACGCCAAAAATTCTGTGCAAATAATTTCACATTTTGGACAATTTTTACTAAATTGTGTCATCGTTTTGGCCCATAAAGACAGTTTTAGATATTGCTATTAGTTTTTGATGAAAAAGTTTGTAAATTTTTATCAATATTTCATGAGGGGAGGAGCTGACTGTACTGAAAAGAATTGTGTCCCCCCTGATGCTGCACGGTAGTCTACCTGATTAATGAACATGATTTTTGTGTTTTTGTTTGACAGATGAGGCTGATATTGTTCCTGGTCATTCTTGTTTTACTGTTGGTTATAATTGGTATGTATACATTATTTGATTTTATTGTTTATCAAACAAAACTGTGTAGAGGAAGCTCTATTCTATTGCACTCTGGGCAGAACCAATCAATGGTTTAATTTAGTAGGTGAAAGAGGAAAGAACCACTAGATTAGATTGGTCAAAGTTTGAAAACAAGGACCTGTGGAATGAGCTCAGTCAACCGTGCCCCTATCTGTGGGGAGGTGTGCGTCCCTAAGCTGTATTTCAGTCATGCCTGGGTCGATCACATTCAAATTTCACACATACATAGTACATCTTGGGATACATATGCACGGGCATTTGTTTCAAGATAGCCAAAAAACAGCCATTCTATTCATGAAGATCAAGCATTTCTGCCATTCCAGAACAGGGTTTCAGTCAAGTGTTGATTATGTTCAATCTTGGTACATACAATAGATATAAAACACATTATGGGACATTTACGCTTATAATTCTGTTTTTGAAATTGAATTAAAAATGGCCGACTGGCAGCCATTTTGTTTTAATGAATACTATTCAAACTTTATATATTTCCTAAACTCACAGGGACCATGTAATGTTAATTACTTGTTTATATTTCAGTACCTATCATCATAAAATATATGAAGTAACGAATCCATTTAAATCCACTAACGGCAATACTCGCGTGTCATACAAGACTCTCTATTTGGGGAAACATTACAGAAGAAGGCTGTGGCTATCTATTTTTCTACGCTGAAATACTGGTTTTATGAAATAGTTGTTACTGTTTGTCATGAGTACATACATTATGCACTCACCTGTCAGCCATGATGTAAGTTAATTTGTACCTCACGACGTGCACCAGGCATCAACTGCTGAACCATCATGGCCGACAGTGCTGTAAGGGGCTTTTAAGTTATTTATGTTACACACTGTTGACAATTTCCAAAAAGATCTTCTCTTGAGGGACATTATAAATATTGATGTGAAATCTATCCAAACTGAATGAAAAACATTGTTTACAATGGCAGTTTATAGATTTTTAAGAGATCATCAAATCTACATGTATGGACTTTTGGCTTAGACATTACTTGCAACTGGAATTTGGAAGAAACTTGATATAAAAATTTAATTATTGGTGTAACATTGAAATTTCAATATTCGATTGTTCAATTTCAAAACAAACTTATACTGAGTGAATACTGAACTGATGTTGTACAAAGTTAATTTCACAGGTAAAACTTTGAACATATTCCATTATGGTGTTTGTATGGTTTATATATGTTTTGTGGTGTATGAATCAGTGCAGATTGGTAGACTAGACACTCCATTCAGGTGATGGTTTCCTTCATCACTGCCATTTTGGGGTTACCAACCCAATGAGGAAATGCATCCATTGGATAATACAACCGTGCTTTCACGATGACAGTCTGGTGTAAAATGTTTCTCCTGATCATTTCATTTGTTCATTATTAGTGAAAGCCGCTGTGATTTTAACACTGCCATACTTAACCTTTTCATCACAAATTCACAAAATAGTCCCGTTTATAATCTTCTTTAAAAGATTGGGACAAAAATAGCCAAATTTTTGGGGGTAAAAACTAAAATTGTCTGTTGGCTTCGAAATTCAGGTTCTTTTCCAAATATATTGAAGAATATTAGAAAAAAAGTGTAGAAAAATTTTGGGAGAAAGTTTAGTGCTGAAAATGTTAATGTGTTCTTCACCAAGTATTCTAAAACATCGCCAACTTGTAGGCATAGCGATAAGTTGGTCTTGTCAAAATTTGGGTGCAACATTTTTCACATTTTTACATAACTTTGTTCATTTGGAAACAAACAGACATAAGTTGCTATTGGCCTTGATCAAAATTCTGGGAAAACTATGGAAAAATTTTCTGAAAGATGACAGAAGTTGACCTTGGGGCATGGTCACTGGCTCATGTCAAACCCATACCCCAAACAGATTTACTGGACATTAATACAAGTTGAATAAAATGATGAATACGTCTTAAAATTATACAACATACAAAAATACTTACTGATGAAGAAACCCACAATTTTTTTTATTCAGGCCCTATTAGATACATTGTTGCTATGGTAACCAGAAATGTGCAGTGATACGTATATCTGCTTTAGTTTTGTACTGATAGATTTGTTAGTATCGTCACCCAGATTGTATTGAACAATACAAAGCGTGTAAAAAGCTTGTAAAATGTTTCTTGATGTTGACAAACCATATGCCGTAATGATACAATGTGTGCTAATATTTAGAGGAATACTACCACTATCCTTGGAACCTTACTTACCTCCCAGCACACGCCCAGCTTTGCTCGGTGACTACAGAACATAAAAAAAGCCACTGAAGAATTGCTGCAAACTCTGCAGATAGCACTATACCTTTCTGAAGGAATGTTCCTTCTAAGCAAATTTGGAATCGAGAAATATCGTAATTTCATCTCAAAATCACCTTGCATCAGGTGTTTTTGAATACAAAAAGCAACAAATTACAAGAGGATGTCTCAATTACACTGAGAAACCTTGTCACCTGACTGAGAAACCTAGTCACCTGACTGAGAAACCTTGTCACCTGACTGAGAAAACTTGTCACATGACTGAGAAACCTAGTCACCTGACTGAGAAACCTTGTCACCTGACTGAGAAAAGATCACAAAAATAAGGCTGAGAGTACCCACTTCTGGAATTCTGGTACCGGTAACATTTAGAGAATTCTGGTACCGGTAACATTTAGAGAATTCCGGTACCGGTAACATTTAGAGAATTCTGGTACCGGTAACATTTACCTAAACAAAAACACCATGAATTTATCAACCATGCATCAATTTGAGTATCGCACGACTTTTAGTCAAGTCATAAAAAAAATTTTTATAGAAATATATCCATTTGTCTTTAAATACAATACTGACATGATTTATCTATTTATTTATTGTATTTTGTACATGGTAACTGCATGTGAATCTGAGAAATTCAAAATTTTGTATCATACTGCATTTAACTGGGGTTCTTTAGCTAGGAAGTCAGTGACTTAACAATTTATCAGTACAATATGTTTTTAATGTATAATATATTAGGCTACTCTCTATATAAAAAGGGGTAGACCATTTAAAATCATGAGGTGGGCTTGCCTTGGGGGAAAAAGTTTCTGAAAATATCTTTACAGTAATTGCATTAGACGTGTATTGTTGTAACAAAAATGAGAACAGAAATACCACATCTAACAAAACAAAAAAGCCCCCCACCCCCAATTTCAAATGGTCTACTTCTATTTCTTTGCTGTTAATATTTTGATGAAAATTGTTTTAAATTTCTATTTAATTAAATAGAATTAAACTGTTTTTGGTAAAATTGTGAAAAAATATTTGAATGCACGCACATGTGGACAGAAAATTCTGTGCAATCAATAATGCGTTTATTTTTTTGGTGAGATGTTGGTGATCATTAAAAGAATAAATTACTACATTCTGCTCCAAAGTGGCATCAGTTTTACTTCCATAGTCTGCTTCATGAATATTGAAAAACATTCTATAATTTTAATGGTACTTAGTACTCTGCTATAATCTAGGTATCTGCGCATAATAATTACCTAATTTGCATATTAACAAGTCATTGAAAATGACAGTCCCTGTTAAATTTTTGAAAGTTCTCTTTGTGCTCGTCATATTAAAGCGGAGGGGTTGTCGCGAGCATGTCCTTGAAACTTGAGTCCTAGGTGGCGTATATACCGGTAACAGATTGTTTATTCACATAAAATTCTAACATGTGTTCCGTCACAACCCCTCCAGTTTAAGACAGCAAAGAACAAGTCATTGAAAATGACACAGTCCCCGTTAAATTTTGGAAGTTCTCTTTCTCTCATATTAAAGCGGAGGGGTTGTCGCGCGCATGTCCTTGAAAGTTGAGTCCCAGGTGGCGAATACAGAAATTGTTTATTTACATCAAAACACGTGTTTTGTGTAGTAGTAATATGTTCAAAAAATAAAAATGGTCGTAATTCGGCCATCTTTGATCTGATTATGAAACAAACTGACATGTATGATGTATGTGCCAAATATGAATGAAAATGGTACATAAATTGTGGAAATATAGTAGTAAGGCCAAAAAGTCAGATGGCTGTCAATCGGCAATCCTTGACCAGATTTTGAAACAAATTGTCATGGATATGTATCCTAACCTGTATGATGTATGTGCCAAATTTGAATGAAAACTGACAAAGCACTTCCAAGATACCGCATATAAAAAACAAAACAAGATGCCTGCCAGTCGGCCATCTTTGATCCAATTGCGAAAGAAATCATCATGGACATGTATAATCTATGTACCAAGTTTGAATGAAAACTGACAAAGCATGTCCAAAATACAACAATTGTTTTTCAAAAAACAAGATGGCTGCCAGTCAGCCATTTTGAATTAAATCGCTAAACCACTGCATGTGCATATGTCCCACATAAGGTACTAGGCACATGCAAAGAATGAACGGAATCGGTCCAAAGGATTCTGAAATATGAGTCTGGACAAACTGACGCAAAGACAGACTGACACACGCACGGACGGACAGACTCACAGACGGTCGGAGGACATGTATCCTAGCATGTATAATCTATGTACCAAATTTGAATGAAAACTGACAAAGCATGTCCAAAATACAACATTTTCAAAAAACAAGATGGCTGCCAGTCGTCCGAATGTGGACTAATTAACCAATATCGTAAGAGCCACTTAACAGATGTTAATGACACTATTTACACAGGTATTTTGACACACCAGATAGTTGATACATGTCCATATTGTAAAATAGAGCAGACCTGATTATTTTTTGGTTGCAAAACCATGAATATTACAGAGCTCATTTAAATAATAGTCAGCTAAGTTTCAGCAATTCCACTGATATCTCCAGAACCACTCAACCTGTTTCTATGAAAAATGGCACACTATTTTTTTTGTTCCAAGTAAATTACTCAAAAAATATTAATCGGAAATATTTCTGGAGCACAACATATATTGAAACTGTTCTTGCAGTTAAAATCAAAATTACATACCGGTACATTATCATTGTTAAAAGGGACAACATAACAAGTACATTTATTTATTAACACACAACATCCCCCGAAGGGGATGAAAAGGGTTACAAATCAGATATTAGTAAAAGAAAAATAACTACATAAAAAGTAAGGGAACAAAAAGGCATTAAAAAAAAGATAAAAATTTGTATACAAGGAATGTATTACTGGCTTAGTTTATGTAGGTGCTGCTGTCTTGTATTAAAACAGTTTTTTAAATATTGCGCTAAAGGAATAGACATTTTCTCGTCACTTAGTAATGATATGAATTTATTTTCATTACTAAATTTGTCAAAATTTGGTATACGTTTATTAGCTACAATGTAAAGTACAGACATTCTGCTCTAACTTTTCCCACACACATATACCCAACCTTAAGTTTATTTGATTAATTTAAACAAACAAATCTGAAATCAAATTGCATAAAGTTATGGTACATCATAAGTATAAATATGATAATTCAGTCACTTGATAATGGCAACCCCTGAAAACAACCTGAATTTCACCAGTTGCGGGAAATGCCCTCCAAACACAGAGTGGATGATTGAATTGGTGATGTAATGAGACACATGGATGATAACTTGGCAGTGAAACTATCACTTGGCTTGGGTTGGTGGTGACCACAGACTACCAGCACTTTTGTTAGCAGCACGGGATGGAGCAAATCCCAACAACTTCTGTATATTCTGTAAACAAAAACATACAAAATCCTGTCACATGAAAGGCTGTGTGAAAAAAAAACTTTCATCCCTCTATTGTTCACACTGAGAGGTGCATCATGGGAGTACCACAGTGCATCATCATCACTTTATGCACATGTACAGAGTTGCATTTATTACATATTAAGGATGCTGTATAGGTTTTTGGTATTGATTTTCTAAAAGGATGTTTCCATATAAAATATTTACTGAACCATTTAAAGCTATATATTGATGGAAAGCTTATTTCCCACTGAATGTGAAATCGACAAGGTAGTGTGTTTATGGACGTGTATAGTCACATGATCTCTGTGTAAACACAGAAAGCCATTTTCGTAGTACATGTAGTAGTTTATCGATTTTCTATAAACTGAAGTATTGAACACTGCAGTATTGAAATCTATACATCAGAATTTAACCATTGCCACAGCTCAAAATTATTTGAAATAAACATTTGGAGATTGATTTCACATTTCAAACAGTTGTCTGATAAAGAAACATAAAAGAATATCGATGTGTTCACGACTTTTCTTGCTTTGTCTAATCTTTGAAACAACAAAACAAGGACACCCAATTATGACTTGAAGTTCACCATTTTCAACTCATTAGATATTTATATTTGTTTCTATATTATCCTGTTGTATCAAGAGTTCGTTAGTGACTGATGTACTCACTATTACCGGAGGTAAGGCAATCAATTTTTGAATTTTGTCTTTGATTATATTTTCAGTGGTGCAGTCTACATAAACTGAGGCTAATGAAACTTATGTTTTTGGTCAGCATGCACACCATTAAAAAAGTGTGTACCATTTTTTTCCCACTTATTCACAGGCTTGACAATTTGATTAAACTTGTATGCTGAGGTAATTTGTGTCCTGTTGAATATTATGGCAAAAAAAAAATGCCTCCAATTTGCCTAGAAACATTTTTTTTTTTTGCAGGACCAAAAACCACTTCCTCATTGATACATGTAGCAGTCATAATAAATTGTACAAACACTTCATTGGGAATGGATACTGATGCTTTCAAAAACAAAATATGTTCGTCCAAAAATTGGCAATAATAGGTATGATAATTACCTGTCTAATAGACATGGTGCATAGAATATATAGAAATATAAACGAACAGTCTGTGTAGTCTTCACCCAGTATATTACGATGTGAAATACCTTGCAACCAAGATATGGGAACGAACGGCAACTTGGCTACGACTCGACCATCAAATCTAACAACCAAACACATGGTTAACAATATATTAATATATCTGATCACACACAATGTATACAAATCAAGAAAATAGTTTTGTTTTTTTGTACTGTAAAACAATTTAATTTCACTATAGTATTTTATTAATGTTTTGAGCTAATTCACTGGGTTTTAAGTTCACAAACTTGGCAGGGAATCAATAAGTTCTATTGTTATTTCACATGAATTTAATTCAGCGGATTTTACATATCAGCGAAAATAGCAAAATTAAAACCAGTGAATAATTACTGCATTTACATTATATCACCACGGTAATTGCTCTATTAGGTGCTCATACGTTTGTATAAATTACAGGTAATCCGTATTGTTATGGTCTAAATAAGTAATATACATGTACTGTGAAATACTTTATTTTTGCTTGCAACTAATTTTCGCTGAAGGAATGAATCAGTTAATATACTTCCTATATTTTACATTCAACTCGTCAAAAATCAGTGAAAATAAATTCCATACAAAACACATAAAAAGTCTTTTCAGCAAAAATTAATTCCAGCTGAAATAAAGAATTTTACAGTACATGTATTTCAATAATCTAGCATGAAATAAAAGCAATTTTTGTGCTTCTTCATGCACTTCAAATGGAGAAAACAAGGTATATGTACCACTCTTCATAATTTTCAGTCATAGGGATCACTTTAACTTAGTGGCAATCATTATTTTCAACCTTCCAGGTTTAATACATTTGGCTTTACATACGAAATGCAAGAAAAAAATCTGACTCTTACATTGAGTTTTTTCAGCGAAATCAATTCTAACTAAAATAAAGTATTTTACAGTACATGTATTTCAATAATCTAGCACGAAATAATTTTGTTGTGTTTCTTTATGCACTTCAAATGTGGGAAAGGCTTTGCAAAAATGCAGGGAAAAATGAGTTGTTTTTTCTGTCAACAACTTCGATTCGAGACTTACATTGAGTTGAACATTCCCATCAATGCCGTAAAACAAAACCCAATCGCAAACATTGATTTCATCTTTACCATAGACAAGTCACGATTGTTATTTTTCAATTTCTCTTCTTGTCGTTCTGGAATAAAACAGTGACAAAACTAAAAAGTTTAGAGAATGCAAGTTAAGTTTTAATTATGCATAGTGAACCCTGCGGCAAAACACCTCAACACACTAATTTTCATTGTTGTGTATGATAACTGCTACCTACAAAACCTTGCTAAATCTCAGTTGATGTAGAAGCCTACTCATAAATACCCAGAATATTGTCATTTTGTGGATAATGTCTATTTTGTCAGTACTATAAAGCTTTCACCATAGGCAGATATTTTATGCCATTTCTCAAATTTTAGGCTGGTGACATTGGATGAAAAAATCATATATTGTGAATGATGAGGTACCGTTTGTTATACTGAATTATTTAAAAAAAATCTGGATTCTAAAAAGTTTTCCTTTCTCATTGTGCTCTATGAAATTGTTCTAATAGCAATTTTTTAAAAATATTAGGACAAGTTTCTCACAATATGTCGCTGTAACACAGAAAAAAATGGTGCCATGATACAATATGATTGTTTTTCCATAAAATACGAATAAAAATTGTCATGCGATTTAACCAACTTTTTTCAAAAATTACGAGTAGTTTTCT